CTTGATCCTTGAAGCCTTTCTCAACAATATCCCACACATCTTGAGCTCCTAGTAGCGCCTTCATCTTGATACTCCAATTATCATAGTTGTTCTTTGTGAGCATCGACATTTGGAAAGGAAAACCACCATTCGCCATTTTGTGGATCTTGAAGCTCTGATACCACTTTGTTGGAAATAATACCTTTTATGTTAAGGAGAAGTGTGTGGGAATATTGAAGGTTTGAATATAAATTTGATAAGTAGGATAATTCTTTATGGAGGAGAAGAACTTTGTATTTTTGCTTGATGCAAATGTGTGAGATTACATCTCTATTTATAGTACTCTAAGGAGAACTCTAGACACACTAATTCTAGAGAGTTCTCAACTCTAGAGATCCAAACACCATTCTAGAAAATATTACAATTATAAGAAATATCTAGAGATTCCATATATTACAAGAATTCTCTAGAAAACTACTTAAGCCCAAAATAACTAAGTCCAAAAACCAATTAATAAATTTAGGCCCAAATCAAGTTTAATATTTTCAACAAAAACAACCACGACTAAAGCTATCTACAATCATATCCATCGTAAATTTGAGGGTAGAACAAGTTTCATTGAAAGTATTCGAGAAAGTTGTGAAAATGATAGTAGAGGGATTATTCTTCTACAACAACAACTTCTTTCAGATCTCCTAAAATTAAAGGCCAAGATACATAGCATTGCATCGGGGATAGCTAAGATCAAGACAAGACTTCAAGGGCAAAATATTTTTGTTGAAATACGAGAGACAAAGAGATATTTAAATAAATCGTGTGTTTGAATAGCTTACCAAAAAATGCATTATATAAGAAAAAATAAAAATCCTAATATTAATTACATAGATATTCTATCTTATTTTAGAATACACTGAGGAATATTCTAAATAATATTCTAGAGAATATTCTCTTTATATACATATAATATATAATTATCAACACTCCCTCAAGCTTGAACATATAAGTCAAATGCACCAAGCTTGTTACATATATAATTGGTTCTAGGACTTCGAAGAGATTTTGTAAACACATCTGCCAATTGATCATTCGAGTTGACAAAGCTTGTAGCAATGTCGCCTGACTGGATCTTCTCTCTGACAAAGTGACAGTCCATCTCAATATGTTTGGTCCTCTCATAGAAGATCAGATTTGAAGCAATGTACAATGCAACTTGATTATCACAAATAAGTGTCATTGGTCTTGCTTTTTCAATTAGAAGTTCCTTGAGCAACTGATTTAACCAAATAAGTTCACATGTTGCCATCGTCATGGCCCTATACTTTGTCTCGGTGCTTGATCTTACAACTACATTATGTTTCTTACTTTTTCAGGATATAAGGCTTCCTCCAACAAGTACATAATACCCAGAGGTGGATCGTCTATCAATGGGTGACCTTACCCAATCAACATCGTAGTATTCAACTATCTGAGTATGTCCTTTATCTCCATACACGAGACCTTTTCTTGGAGCACACTTGATGTATCTTAGAATCTGGACAACAACATTCATGTGTTCCTGGCAAGGAGAATTTAAGAACTGGCTTACCACACTAACTGCAAAATAAATGTCTGGACGAGTGACTGTGAGATAATTCAAATTTCCAACCAATCTCTTATACCTTTCTAGGTCAGATAGAGCCCCCCCTGATTGTGTAGCAGTTTGACACTTGGATCCATAGGAGTATCAGCTGGTTTAGTATTCAACAACCATGTTTCTTCCAAAATATTTATAGCATATTTTCGCTGAGAAATCACCAAACCATCTCTAGATTGGGCCACCTCAATTTCCAAGAAGTAGTAGAGTTTACCAAGATATTTTTGTCTGAAATTGGTTCGAGAGATGTTATTTCAACTGGAGTATCCCATGCTGACCACTGCCAGTTATGACAATATCATATACATATATAATAAGATAGATACATCCTTGGACAGAGTGATGATAAAACATAAAATGGTCAGCTTCACTACGGATCATATTAAACTGTTGTATTACAGTAATAAATCTGCCAAACCAAACTCTCGGAGATTGCTTAAGACCATAAAGAGACATGTGTATCCTACAAACCATATTTGAGGTCTCCCCTTGAGCAAAAAACCCAGGTGATTGCTCCATATATACTTCCTCTTCAAGATCACCATGTAAAAAGGCATTTTTGATGTCAAGTTAATGAAGAAGCCAATATAGAATGCATGCAATGGCTATAAGAAGTCTAACAGATGCCATCTTGGCTACAGGCGAGAAGGTATCACTATAATCCAACCCAAAAATCTGTGTGTATCATTTGGCTACCAGGCGAGCTTCAAACCGATCGATCTTACCATCTGGTCCAACCTTCAGTGTATAAAGACAACGACAACCTACTATAGATTTCCTAGGAGGTAGAGGTATCATTTCCTAAGTACCACTGCTTTGAAGAGAACATATTTCATATATCATTGCTTGCCTCCACTCAGGGTGAGATAATGCCTCACCTGGAGTATTAGGAATAGAAACAAAAGACAAAGATGACAAACAAGTATACTGCAAATGGGAAAGACGATGATAACATAGATAAATATAATGTGAAGAAGGATTCCGTGTTTGATGCATACCTTTTCGAAGGGAAATCAGAAGACCGGATTCAGGTTGCAGGATCTGATCCGACGATGGCGAATGCGTCAAAGGAGAATCTGCAATGACCTCAGGAACATGTACTGCCTCAGGGATGGGTACGACAAACGTGGGTTTTCGATGCTGATATGCTTGAAGTGGGCGAGAAGTGGGGTGGTCAACCGTAGGGTTTTCTAGTGGGTTAGGTTCCCTAGAATGGTGGGGGATAATGGGAAATGGGAATTTCAGAAAAGGTGTGGGAGTACTTTCCTGAAGGGGTTCTAGAATTACTTGGCTGGACTTAAAATATGGAACAGACTCGAAGAAGGTAACATTGACCGATACGAGGTATCATTGTAGAGTATGTAAGTAGTAACGATAACCCTTTTGAGATTGGTGATAACCAAGAAAGATAGACTTTAGTAATCGAGTTGATAGTTTATCAAGATCAGGGAGGATATTGTGTATAAAACACGTAGACCCGAAGACTCGAGGATGAATTAGGTGAAGAGGATAGTTTGAAAACAAGATTGAGTGGGGGATTTTATTATTAAGGATAGATGAGGGCAGGAGATTTGTGAGGTAACATATCATGAACACATCATCCCCCCAAAACCGAAGAGGAATATTACCATGGAGAAGTAGGGTCTGAGTGATTTCTATGAGATGTCGGTTTTTACATTCAGCTACCCTGTTTTATTGAGGTGTGTGAGGGCAAGATGTTTGGTGGAGAATAACATTACTGGACATAAAAGTTTAAAATTGTTGGGATAAGTATTCACGAGCATTATCACTTCTTAAGGTACGAATAGACACACCAAACTGAGTTTTTATTTCTTTATAAATTTTTTCAAAAATAGAAAATAATTTTGATCTATTTTTCATTAAAAATAACCATGTGCAACATGAAAAATCATCAATAAAGGTAACAAAATACCTAGACTCAAGAGTAGAGACAATACGCGAGGGACGCCAAACATCAGAGTGAACTAAAGCAAAATGAGACGAAGCTCGTTTATTGACTCGATTAGAAAATTGACTACGAGTGTGTTTCCCTAACTGACACGACTCACAATGTAAATTAGATACCTTCGATAAACTTGACACCAACTTCTATAGTTTTGGAAGACTAAAATGACCTAATTGAGCATGGATAGTGAGTAGTCTTTGGCTGAGCATGTCTGAGATGGCACTAAGAGGTAATAAAGGCCTTGAGACTCACATCTGATGTCAATCGTCCGTCCCAAACTCTGATCCTGCGGGGTAACATTATTATTAGTGAAGGTGACAATACAATCAAGAGAACGAGTTAAACGACTGAATGAAAGTAAATTAAATGGACAATTAGGTACATAGAGAACATAAGTAAGAGAAAGAAGGTAGAATTTGAACAATACTAATTTCTTCGGATTGGGTTTGAAAACCATTGGTAGAAGTTATAGTAGGTAAGAAACCAGAAGTAGAGAGGGAAGAGAAAATATTTTTATTACCAGTAACATGATCAAACGCACCAGGATCAAGGATCCAAGGTCCAAGAGAAGATGATTGAGAGAGGTGAGCAAATGGATTACCAGTGTGGACAACCAAAGCAGTATAATTTGAGTTCTGATAATACTGATACCACCTAAGAAAATCATCGTAGTTTGACGTAAAGTTCCGAGGAGTAGCCATGAGAATCTGAAAGAGAGAAAATATATCGGGTGAACAAGATTATGTTCGGACTGGATCACAATTTTCCATGAGTGGAAAATAAAATCTGAGACTGGATCTGGAATAGTTGCACTGTGGTGATTGAGGCGGTGAAAAAATTGTCGGGATTGGGGGAGGCGCTTATGCCGGTATGATTAGTTTGCCGGAAGGTCGCCGAAAAATAGTAGCAACGACGACGGAAGTGCGGTGGTGACCGAAAAATTTCGAAAACTGATGCCATAATTAGTTATGACAATGTATGAAAGACAAATCAGAGTTATGATACGGTTTGTCAAAAATTTCTCACCAGAAGACAATGGGTCAACCGGGTAAAACACGACGAAAGATTGTATCTTAGTAGGCTTTGGATACCATGTTAAAATATGAAAGATTAAAAGATATTTGAATAAACCGTGTCTTTGAATAACACAGTAGAAAATGCATTATATAGAAGAAAATATAAATTTTAGTATTAATTACATAGATATTCTATCTTATTCTAAAATACACTAAAGAATATTCTAGAGAATATTCTCATTATAATATATATAAATTATCAACGGTTTTCATCGTACTTGATGATGTGACCCAGTCGCAGCAATTAAAAGCCGTATGTGAAAATCCTAAATTGTTTGGTCCGGGAAGTGTAATAATTATTACAACCAGAGATGTATACCTTCTAAATTCACTCACAGTGACGGGCATGGACGACAACCAGTCCCTTGAACTTTTCAGTTGGCATGCTTTTCGACAACCAAGCCCTAGAGAAGATTTTAATGAACTCTCTAGAAATGTAGTTGCTTATTGTGGAGAATTGCCATTGGCTCTTGAAGTCCTTGGATCTTACTTATCGGAGAGGACGCAAAAAGAATGGAGAAGTGCATTATCAAAATTAGAGAAAATGCATGATTTTAGTGATACTTAATGGCTGTGGACTTCACGCTGATATTGGAACTGTTCTCATAGAGCGCAGCCTCGTAAAAGTTGAAAAGAATAACAAGATTCAAATGCATGATTTGTTACGAGACATGGGAAGAGCAATTCAGAGAATCAACTAAGTCACGAATTACATAAATTAAAGATGACCTATGTATATGATGTGAATTATACTGAGTTGGAAACAACATCAGATGGATTACAAGTCTCAAATCTTTCCTTGAAATCACTTGTGATTGGAACGGGAAGTTCTCAAATAGTCATGGATATTCTTGGGAGGGAGGAGCATATCGCAGGTTCCTCCTCTATCCTTTTGCCTTTACTAATATTTATTATTAATTAAGAGAGCATCAAACGATTTTCTTTATTTCTTAAAATCGTAGTAAAAATGTTTCTGAAAGCGCAACAAGTTTATTCAGGTATCAGATAAACTGATATAAATGCTAGTGGTCACTGGTCAGATGTGTAACATAGACCTGAAGAAAATTTTGAGATAATTACTTACCGTTTTCTTTTCCGATATATCGTTTCTTCTTTTACGTTATTTCTTTTTAATTGTTGAATGTCTATATTTGACACATAAATCACGTTTAACTTAATAAAGATAATTGAATATTTGTGGTAGCTATACGAGTTAATTTCCGCTAGATATCAGAATAATAAAATTACATTATTGTTGTTCTGAATTATACATAGGATTTTCTTATTACGAAGTACAAAAGTACTGATTCAACAGTTGTTTCTAAAGTGTCAATATATCAATAAATAGGTTACAGGATAATTGTTTTTTTACAAATACCGAGATGTAAAAGCTTTAGTACATTTTGTTTCTCTTCTCTCTACATTGGTAGGAATCCATAACACTATTTTGACCATATTAATGGCACAGAATTTCCATTTTCATGCATAGTTAGAATTACATATATAACTAAGCATTTGTTCATGATGCAGGGATTGACAACCAATAATTCTAGTGCTTCTTTCCTTCCGGGTAACAACTATCCCGTTTGGTTAGCCTATACATGTGAAGGACCTTCAGCACAGTTTCAAGTTCCTAAGGACATTGATTGTCCCATGAAGGGAATAGTTTTATGTGTTGTTTATTCGTCAACATCTGATAACATAGGTGTCGAATGTCTTACTAGTATCTTGATCATTAATAACACAAAGTGCACCGTTCAGATATACAAGCAAGACACAATAATGTCTTTTAATGATGAAGATTGGAAGAATGTAATATCAAATCTAGGACCCGGTGATGATGTGGAGATTTTTGTATTTTAAAACACCACTAGTGTCACTCCTTGAGTTTGTGCAGGCTCAGCTAGTGCAACATGTTCTTTGTCATGTATATTAGTTCTGATGTTGCTTGAACTTTCACTTTCTTGCACTGGATTTTCTAGAATTTTCAGCCAATTCCAACCTTTGTTTTCATCAAACTCCACATCTATGATGATCAACACCTTGTTCTCAGTTGGTGAGAATAACTTGTAGTTACCCGTTGAATGATATCCAACCATAACCATATCTTGGCTTCTATCATTTAACTTTCTTCTAAGTTATTCATGAACATGTCTAAAGCATAGTGAGCCAAATATTTTGAGATAAGCTTCATAAGGAGTTTTGTTGTTCAACTTCTTTGTTAGACATTTGTTGATGATATACATCTGTTGAAGTGGCTTCTCCTTAGAAGTGCTTAGGCATTTGCTTTGCTTTGAGTATACCTCTAGCCATATTCAAGATGCTTATATTCTTTATTTTAGTAATGTCATTGTGTTGTGGTGTGTATGGTGCTATCACTTCATGCCCAATCATTTCCTTCTCACAAACTCAGTTGAGATATACTCACCACCACTATTAGTTCTCAACCTCTTGATAGTGTTTCCAACTTTCTTTTCAACCAACAATTTAAATTTTTTGAAATTTGAAAACTTCACTTTTATTTTCTAACAAGTAAATCCACAAATTCGTAGTGAATTCATCTATGAAGGTCAAGAAATAGAAATTACCTCATAGTGATTTTACTTTAAATGGACCACACAACATGTGAGTGCACAATCTCAAGCTTTTGTTGTGACTTCATTGACAAGTTATGTTTGAATGGCTTCCTGGCCTGTTTGGCTAAGCAACATTCCTCACATAGTTGCTTTGGCACTTCAATCCTTGAAAGTCCATACACCATCTTTTTCATGTGCATCAAGCTAAGACTCTTGAAATTGAGATAGCCAAATCTTTTATGCCAAACCCAATTATTGTCTTTAGTCATGGTTGATGCAAGACATTGATGATCAAGCATGTTGATCATGACCTTGAATATCTTGTTGGTTGACAAAGGTGCCTTCAGAATTAGCCTAGACAATTCATCAAGCATCTTAAGTTCCATCCCTTCTAACTGCATTGTATAATTCTTATCAAGTAATTGATCAAAACTCGTCAAATTACTTGCCATTGAGGGAACATGCAAGTTATCATTAATGATAGCTTCATGTTCACCCTTATTTTCACATAGACGTTGCCTATTTCTTCTGATGTCACCATGTCTGCAAAATAAATCGATCTTTTAACTGATTCATTCAATTTGACAAACCAATTCTTGATGCTTATCATATGATTGCTGCAACATGTATCAAATATGTTGCAACCATCAAGATAACATTTTCAGATTCACTTCTACCATTATGAGAAAATTGAGCCACACCCTTGTCCTCATCATAACTCTTGTTGTAGTACCAAGTTTCTTACAACAATAGTATTGAATCTCCTTCATGTCAACCTTCTTCTTGATCTTCTGGTTCTGATTAGCACCATTCTTGTTAGTACCACCTTTACCTTTTGCAGTCTTACCAGGATCATCATTATTAGTTTATCTTTTGATCATTTTGTTTCTACAATCTTCCATTTATTTTTATTGAAGCGTTAGTTAGTATAGTTTCTCTTGATCATTTTGAGGTTTATTTAGATAGTTATTTCGTCAACAAATATCAATTTTCAACAGGTTTGTTCTTCACTGAAATGAGTTATATATCGCCGAAATGGGTTATATATCACTGAAACGAGTTATATATCACCGAAATGAATTTATATCATTTTGTTTTTCCCTGTTTGTCTCTTGATCATTTTGTTTCTACGCATTTGTCTCTTAATAGTCATGGTCGATTCGACAAGCACCTCTCATACAACATCTGCTGCAACATATGTTAATACAAATCGCAGAAGAAAAACTAGAGGTGACACGATATATACCAATGTGAGATTAGACATAGGCAATAGTTTATGTTTGAATGTATATATTTTTTTGTATTTCCGGACAAATGTTATGTATGGTCTTGACTTTTTAAATTAATGTATGACTTTTTACTTTCATTTTACTTTGCTTTTACTTTAATATAACTTGGTCTCAAAAATTACAATGTTGGGACAATGATAATGCTTTAAAATGATTCAGTGAATTTCCAGAGATACATCTCTGAAATAATCCACTCTTCTAATTAACACGCTTTTAGTATCTTTTAAAAGACTTTAGAGGACATTTCAAAAATACATCTTCGGATACACTCAAAATATGTACAAAAATATATCTCCGAACTATATTTTATTCGAAATAAAGTGAATCTCATAATAATACATTTTTGTGTAATTTTAGATACATCTAAATATGCAATTTCAAGAACATAAAAAACGTTTTTTAATTTTAAAAAATGTGAGAGATACATATAAAAGATGGAAAGAGCATCCCCTAAAAATATGTGGTTCTTTATCTATCCATTCCATTATGTCTTGACTTATAAACACACTTTATGCTTTTTCTTTACTAACATTCTATTTAAATAATTAAGTGAAATGAAGAAAAGAAAAATTATTTGATAAAGAACTTAACTAAAAAATTGTCAACACAATTAAACCATTATTTTGTGGTGTTTTCTAATACCTTCGATTGGTGTCAAAGTTTATTCTCTTTGATTGATCACTTTATTTTACAAGTATTTTAGCATTAAAAAACATTCATATCTAATTATTTGATTTGATGAGTGTTCTTAGATTATTTCTTTTTAAAGAATAGTTAAAATCTTTTTCTTAATTTAATCCACGCAAATACATTTACTTTTATTGAATAGACTTTATTTTAGAAACAACTTAAAAACTCTTGAATGAGATACAAAATTATCTTCTAAAATAACTAGAATTTTTTAATTCAAATCCAATCATAAATATCTAGTTCATAAACAAAAAACATATTCTAAAACTAGAATGGAGGATAATATAATGGTGTGTCTCTCTCACATTCATTATAGAAAGAGAGAGATATGAACAGAACAAATAGCACTATCTGTTTGATTTTACTTCACATTTGCCGAGTATTTTACTGATAACTGCAGCACCTGAAAGTGCCTTTATAGCACACATTCCAGATTTCAATGGAACAACACATTTTCATGATTCATCTAAAGAAAGTTCAATGAATCAATCTTATGCATTACACCATACATATCATTCTTTAGTCTTTATAGCATACAATGACATAATAGTCAAATCATTATATACGGTAAATATTTATTTTGGTAAAAATGAAGCCAAAATTTGATTTGTAACTTCACCAATGTTAGTATTAAATATAACTACTATGCAAAGTCTAATCTCATATAAGAGTCATTTCCTTTTAGATTATTGGTGTAAAAATTCAGAAGTAAGTCAACAATATCTATTTGACAAAGGCCTAATAGAGAAAGCAAAGCATATAGTTCACAACAATGGCATGGCATTATCTAACAAGTAGCTGACTTATATGTATAAATAGGATTCTTAAAATACTGGTATTAATTATGAATCCATATAGAATCCAGCACAAGCAGTTAATGAAAAAAAGCAGTTATGCAAAAATTTGGCTGAAATATTTGATAGAAGCAATATGCCATCACAAGTGGCAAATATAGATCCCATTCCTTGAGGTGTTCCGAGATTAAACCTTTCATGTTGTCCATTCCCATGATT